AATTTAATTAAAATTTCAGGCAAAGGGATACCTCCATACGCGCGCACACGGTTTAACCTTTTTTTTCTCTATTTTTCAGAGTAGACGCGTAACGAGCAGTCGCGTAACGAAATTATCGTTTTGATCGCGCTCCATCAATTATCATTCATTAATCTTAACGACTGAAAGAAATCCTATTTTACGCAGCGTTAAAAGTTGGAGCTTAATAAAAACAAATCGAAGAGGGTAGAAAAAGCAGCGATGTGGGATTCTCACGGAAATTTATGTTACTTCGTTTTAAAGCGTTCCCGACAGATATTCCCACCTTCCGCCTTTTCGCCTTTTAAATAAATACGAGATACCCTCGATGTTCGATTGGGATGTTACTATCGCACCTCGTCGTAATGGTTCGAAGATATGAAAATCGAAAAGTTGCAATAAGAAGAAGGAAGTTTGCTCGCTTTCCTCTGTTTTCTCGGAGTTCCACCATCGGCGTCCCTTTATTTCTTGGCCGAGGCTAGACTTTTCTCGTTCTCACAAAGTTTATCGGTTGACGGAGAGGGGAGGGGGAGGGGGGAGGGCAATTTTAGGAACACGGTTGACCCGGAAGTAGCTAAGTTCTACTGGCGCCGCTTATTTGCTCTGAGGATTTCAAATCTTACACGCGTCTCCGATTTAACACCGTCGCCCCACTAGCAGATATTGAACGCGAATGCTAAGAGAGCGGCTTATTTGTTTGGCCGATCGTTTTTTTACAACATAATTACATCGCGTTTATATCGTTATGTAAAAATGTATGAGCATCCAACTTCGTTATACATAACGATACTACAAACATTAATAATACAAAACTGCACTGCCGCGCATTTATTGCTTCTCCATTATTAATAGTTTCCGCGCAGGATTGCTAGAATTTTCATTGGAATTATAATATAATGCGATATAATAATATGATGCAACGTAGATAATGTATTATTATAATATATCACGTTACGTGTTGTTATTAATCGTGCACTTTACATCTTGGATATAAATAGTTTTGATCAGTTTGAAATTTAATTAGCGAAAATTTACTAGAAATTATAATTATAAAATAATTTCAAACTAAAAAGAATTAAAGAATTAACGAATTAACTTCTATCATAGTATAAACAGATCTTATTTTTCGGTTTAGATAAAAAAATTATAATCTAAGATTGTGCTACTTTCAAATTCGAGTCTTTCATCAATTCGGTTTCGAGTTTAATTCAAATATTCTGTCTGTGCGTGTGATTGTTGTCGATTGAAAGTCATAATTATCCAGCGGGCACGGTATGCTAATTTTCGCAAAATGACACTCTCCCAGTATCGCGAGATTAAACCAATTTCTCGTGTTGTACCAACGTGTTGCTCGCACGAGGAGGCCATTTATCGGTTTCTAATTACGTTTAATCGTTACGATTTCTCAGGATTAGCAGAGAGGAAGCACTCGAACGAGACGCCACGATGGCACGTCCGCGGCTAATCTTACGGCTAATTCAAAGTTAACGCCAATTACGTGTAACTTTCTCTGACTATTGTTGCCATCCTGGCTTATAAAGTAACTTTAATCAAGATTTTACAGTAATTTCTTCATGAATGTCGCTTTATGCTATTTCGCCGCAGATTATTTTATGTAGAAGCATTTCGATTATGTTGCTGATTATAAGTTAATTATATATATTATTGAATAATAGATATAATTTTACAGTTCATATTTAATAAAATTAAAATTACAGTTGAAGTAACTCTTTCTAAGAGATACACTTGAGTTTATTACATTAAAAAATTTATATTTATATTGATACGTTTTTATTTACAAAAATATATTAAAAGTATAATAATTGTATACCAAATATATTATTAAAGATCATTGTATTCACTTTATTATCCATTTTGTCTTAATTAACTCTCTCATTATATTTATATTAATATGACAAGAGATATTATTTTATATTTTCGTAATTAGCAAAATATTTTTACAGAATTTTATTCGCATTGTTATTTGAAGAACAAAGGTAGATATTAAAATTCTGCTTATTGTACATCAACGAGCAGCGTCCCAAAAAGATGACGAATAGTAAATTCACAACGAAGCAAAGCAAACTCTCTCATTTTCAACACTTTTGACAAGGACTCCCGTAAAGATATTTCTGCGCTACCGTAAAATTAAATACGAAGATTACGGAGCGCGGTCTGTCTATCCATTCTCCATATTTCTGTCAAAAACAGCTTTGTTTTTTAAACAACAAGGTTGTTTTTGTTTGAGTTTGCAAAATAATTGATAGTCGATAGAATATCTCGCCAATGTCTCATATAATAACTAAATCAGCGCGACCGACTTTTGAGAAATTCTCATTACGTATTAGATATAATTAGATACATAATTAGATATAATAAAAGAAATGTGTAGAAAACATCTAAGCGTGTAACATTCGCATTTATTATTTCGTGAACTAAAGAATTGTTTCAGTTTTTTCGATTGTTATCCTTGAATAAAATAACGTCCCATTTTTGTGACCATTCTCTATTTCATGAAATTAAAAATAAATGATCTTCAAGCCTTTTCACTGAGATCGTAACGCAACGTACCGGAATTTATTTTGGTTAGTTAATGAGCAGAACATTAATTCTGTTACTTTTTAATTTTTAAGTCTACAAAAGATGATTTTAACTGAATCTTTTCGAATATGCGTATTTTAAAATTTCTATAGTGACCGAAGTAAAATTTTTAAAACTTTTTTAATGAAGCTTGAAAATAATTTCTAAATTAAGGTCAAACTTGCCTGACAGCCTTAAAACAGGATTATTCAAAATTCTCTTGAAGAATAAAATGTTTGCGCTAATAAATTCCGTTCTCGAGAAAAAAATATGAAAAAAGTATTAATAGCTGTCGAAAAAAAATACATGGGAGTTATTATTAGATTATTGAAAACTGCGTTCTGCAAAGGAAATAAATAGAAATATTACGATTATTTAATTGAACGGTCAAACTTCACGTCTGATATAAATAACGCTTCTGCATTATTGATAGCAGCCGACTAAGTTGTTTTATTCGCATGCTTTTCCAACCAATCGGTTCGAGGATTTTCAATCGACCAACGTTGTATCAGAAAACGAACGCTTCCGCTTCACTCGTGCGTACGATCGGATTTACTTTTTGTATGATGCAAACGTTAATGGATACACGAACTATCGATTTTTTAGTGCGTTAATGGTAATACAGTTTCCGCTGTTGCAAACATTTTATTATTCGAATATAAAGATTTATATGAATTAAACATATGAATTAAACATATAAATAATTTCTGAATATGAATTAAACATATAAATAATTTCTGCGCGAAACAAGATATTTTTTTGAAATATGATTCAAGATATTTGTTGAATGGCAAAATGTGAAAATCTACGTATTCCTGAATTTTAACTTAAAACTTTCAGGATCACATATTCAACAAATTGTTTATCAGAATGAATTTGAAAATGAAGAATTGTATGATAAATAATCAATTTTTTACACTAAGAATAACTTTTCTGTTATTATCAATTTGGTAAAAATAATATTTCCAAGGAATGCCGTTTCCCTTATAAAGTTATTTAAGACAAAAATTTATAATTTTCATGAGAAAACGCTTATCGTAATGTTAAATCTCGTTTATTTTAATTAGTTTTATTAATTGTTTCGATATAATTTATGATGAAAAAAAAAAGAACAAGTTTTCCTCGTGCTGTATATAAAAGATATATATTTTCACGTAACAGAAATCAATGACTGATAGTCACTGCGATCGTGGAGCAGCTTATATCACGATCGCCAAGCGATGAAGATGGATTGCTGGGACGTGTCGTTCGGGATCCGATATCTGCTCGCTAGCAGCCGCGCTTATCTATTTTATCGTTGCGTAATAATTCATGTAAAAACGTAAGCTACTTCGACAGTAAGCCCTCATCGCGTCTGAATAATCCTATGAGTTGTTTAAAAAAAATCGACTATTATGTTGTCAGAAAAACTGCGTTAAAATTTATCCTACCAGAAAAAATACTTGTCAATACTTGTTCGGTTTTTCTTAACCTTGTTTATATTTTATATTTTTATATATTTTATATATTGAAAATATAATATCGTAAATTGTTTGGAAAAATCCATTAAAAGTCCTTCTTTGTATCTAAATAACTTGAATTCTAATCAATCTATCAATTTAAATACATTATATATATCTAATATAGTTAATTTAAATTTTATTTTTAATTTCTCAAAAATTCTACTAGAATAGACGCGAAAAGGAGCATGTTTCACTGTTCGCTTCATATTCATATACGAACTTTTCCGTGTCAGATAGAAGCATCTTGAATTTAATTACCCACAACAGAGCGAGTCACGCGTAATACGCATTAAGAGAACTTCCAGAACTGCAAACACACAAGTTAAGTAGCAGCTAAGCAGGGTCTCACATGGGTTTTGTCGAATTAATCTTAACTAACTGACTCCGCGTGGTCGATCCATAGCTTGCGGAATGCTTTTGTCAGAGCGTCATCGTAACACGTCAAATAGCTGAGGCACGTCTCCGACGTCAGCTCGAAGAGCAAGTCCGTCAGATCAAATACGTTTGTCAATTGAGAATGGGGGGCGTCGGTTCGGAATTTCATACTCTCGCTTCATTGTCTCGTACCTCGTACAAATTCTTTGATCTTTGTCGAGGCATAAAATTCGAACTGGCACAATAATAGAAAGTGGATTCGGTATCCACGAGGGTGCAGCTCTCAAAAGCTGCAGAATCTCTATGGCGTAAAATAGTCAACAAATTCGTCTCTCATCATCGTTACCTTTTCGATTTCGAGTTTAAACATTTTCTATGTAAAAATTATTCTTCATTTCCGTTAATATTGAAGACAACGTCAAAATCTACGTTTTACGTTTTAAATATCCGTTAAATTTACCTCGAAAACTCGCTCGGGTTTCTGCGTTGAATGCATCGCGTGTCCTGATACATTCAACGTCAATAATGTGAATATCTTTCCACGCCAATATTAATGGAAATCGTACGTTCTGCGTATCGTACCTACACATTGCGAGATACGTACTTGATTGTGACGATTAGCTGAACCCATGGCGGAAAGTTTCCCGTCGTCGGAACTTGCACGACGGCGCAGCTGTTAGGAACTATGCGATGTCGACTGCGGCAATCGACCTCGGATAGTTCGTGCAAAAGACACGGTCGGCGAAATTACACGTCGCAGTCGCGGTGTACGTGTTCTTTTCTCGAGCCGCTGATCCGTGCCGGCGAATCGCATATGCGATTGGACGGTGCACCGGTGACACTCACCTGGAACAAAGAAAAGAGAAAATCATACGTTAGAGAAATACCAGAGGATACGTTCGCACGATGTTTCGTTGAATTATCCGTTCTCCATTTTTATCTCAATAACGATGAATATCACCTCGAAGGTGAAAGGACGAATATCGATCTCGGCGCCAAACTTTTTATCCCAAGGATATAATGTAAATTGTCTGTATATTTCTTTATCTCTGGATAAAAATTTATGTAATTAAATATAAAAATATTAAATTATTGAAAAACTAACAAAGATAATTCCTAAATATTAATACAGTAATGTTACTTTGATCTTGTTGTATCACTTCCTTCTTTTTTTCAAAATGTATGAAATAATATTTTTAATATTATTGCACACTATTATTTAATAGCTTAATAATGAAGAAAAAGCGTACAAGGTTTTTATTTTTCAAATCTTCATGATCACGATAACTAGTTTTCGTTTTCATAGTGCAGTATTATTTTCTCTATATAACTTTTACTCTGCATATTATTCTAGAATAATATAATCCAATCTATCGTAATTTATTTTTTTCTGGGTCATTGATTATAACTTTTATATTAATAACAGTTCTAATAAACTAAATATCTCGCGGTTAAATATCATTTTTAAACAATTAGATAATAACAATATTATTCTATTAAATAAAAATAAAACAAATTCTTTTTTTATCTTTATTATATTTACACATATAATATGTTTGAAACACATTTTATAGTATATTTTATATAAATATAAAATATATTATAAAATGTGTTTCAAATATCTAAAGCAAAATCTAATAAAAAATAGATAAATACACTTTGATATTTATAATATGTTGTTTATTAATACTAATATGTGTACAATACAGATATATAAATACTTTAATAATATATTTTTTGAAAAATTTCTTCCCTAATGATAAAAATAGAAAAAATATTTTAATAAAAATATATCAAAAATCAATGGGAGAAATAATGTGTCGTTCATTTGAAATATAAAACTATTAGGATCTCGATATTTAAGTCATTAATAATGATTATATTATTGTAACATCTATACATTGTTTACGATCAGAATATTGCGTTTATCGTTTGATTGTTTATCACAAAATATGTAACACAATCATTGTCAATCATGTTGCACAATACTGTATTTATATGCAACAATCTACAGCCGACGCACAGGAAGGAATCGAGCGGGTTAAGAAGTAACGAAAGCGGAAAGGAATAAGGAGCGCGGTGACGTGAAAGGACTCTTCGGCCTGTAAAAAAAGCACTTCTCGTCGTGGCTCCTCTGAGAAGATAATTTGTTGGTTCAGTGAGCTCAGTGAGCTCTCCTATCTTCGAAGTCCACCGCGTTTTCAATCGTCACTTCGATCTCGTTGCTATAATATCCGCGCGCGCGCCGCGAAAATAGTCGGCTTCAATTATTGGTATTCCACGAAGGTTTGTATTTAACCAGAATGACTTCTTCCGCCGTCCGGTACTTAGGCCAGTTTGCGTCTTTTTCTCAATTGGCTATAAAAGTCGATGGCGCCGCGGGGAAACTTTGATAAGTATCGACGCAGGCGGACAACTAATATCGCGAATATTAGAATCGCGTGAGTACCCGTAAAATGAGAATCGAGTGTTCCACGTTCGTGTTTTCCTTTCGGCTCCGGATACGGACACGAATATTTGCTAGTATTCGAGTCATTAAATACGCGAAATTGGAGCAAACGTGGCTGAGACAAATTACAAGTACAAAAAGACTTATACGATATTTATCATTTATACGAAACGTAGTTAAATAGAATAAAAGATATCAAATATGCATATTTATTTATTCATGCATTCACTTTATTTAATAACGACCGCTGATATTGTTTATAACACATATGTAAACATTAGATAAGAAGATTAATGGCCATAATGTATTAATTGCAAGATGAAAACTGAAATGAAAATACTTCAATTACCATTTATGAGACAAAGAGAGAGAAATAGCTTTATTAATATAATATCATTACTATTATTATATTTATGCTAACAAATCGTGTAAAACCCACGGAAATTATTTGCTACATAAATCCGCTTGCTATTGCATTTCACGTTGTCATAATAATAGCGTGTTGAAACAATAACGCCATTTCAGCGAGGATTTGATATAAACGATACTTTGAGATATGGAAATAATAAAGCTATAAAGAATACATTTCGGAAAATTGAAGATTTAAATATTATAATTAATAAGTAATGCATACTAATTTGTTTACATGCAATATTATACTAACTATTAAATAAAATTTAATGTTTAAAGGCAAGAATCAAAGTCAACAAGTATTATCGCTCAGCATTATTGCGCACTTAGAAATACGTAATTTATATAGCTCTATTATTCCCCGAATAATTCACAGCGTTTCTCCTTTGTAAAACGTTAATACAACTCTCCGGTCAGTTGTATCTAGAATTCGGAGACGACAAGGGAGAGAAGAGCGACATTCGGGAAGGGAATTGAAAATAGAATCGAGACGTGATGTACAGGATGATCATGACGGGCGAATACGGTGGTTAACCACATTCTAACCGCTTCTCTAGAATACATATTCGTACGTGCGAGCAAGCATTTCGACAACTTGCTCAATTAAATGCTCGTCCGATTAGCGATATGTCTTTGATGGTCTTACCGATCATCTGAGTGGATATTGAAACGTACCCGCTCGAAAACCCGCTCGCGGGACAGATTTGGTTAATATAATCGACTTTGGGGAAAATTGCTTCATCGCGGACGATGCAGCACGTGCAGAAATGCAAGAAATATTTCTGCAAAGCCGGAAAATAAAAGCCGAAAAAAAGGTCCTTTATTTTGTGAAATATTCCCAAGAAGGAAAGCAGAGAGTTATGCTTCATGTTATATACATATTTCTCTCGGTAGAATATAAAATACAGGCGGCGGATGGAGGAGGCGCCTCGTACGAAACTGAAATTACGAAAGTAAAATTACATCAGTCAGAATATAAAGTGCAAAATTAGATACGTCATCGTTACGGGAGTATGCCATCCTTGCATTTTTATGACGGAAACAGTAAGAATTGTGGTGGAATATTTTTGAGAAACCGAAGATTCTACGTTTTCCGCTTTCTCGACTCGAGGTAGACGTCGTCGCGAGATATTGCGAGACTTTCCGTGATCTCTCAGCTCTCGTCTCATCTTC